ATATTTTTTCCGAAAAGAAAGAAAATAAAATGACAGAAAACTTACGGGGCCAAGCAACACCCTTATGATTCCTATCTAATAATTCCAAGCACCTCTAAGGTGGGGAGGTAAAAATTGAGTCTCGATTAAAAATACAAGCTATACCAGTGAGTAGGGGTGCTAAATAAATCAGGAGCCTTTGGTTCGGCTCGTGAAGATTTGTGTTTATATGGTCTCTAAAATTGGTTGTTAGAACCAGACTTTGACTTGTATAAAAGCTCGTTTAATAAAAAAGTTTCAGGCTTCAATTTAAAAGCTCGGCCTTAGAGCTTCTGGCTGACTTAGTATATTAATTTTTATTTTTATTTTATATTTTTTATACTACTCATTATAGCTCTTTATCTCTTCTCAATCTATTTCACTCCATTTTATTGGTTAAACAGGCTTTTTGAATGATTTGGTTCTATATTATGCTGTTTGGATATACATTGAATTTATGAATCTTTGTAGAATTATTAGCGCTATTGATTGTATATTATGTTTGAATAAATTTTTGTTGTCTTATTTTTTTAACAGGCTAAACTAGACTTTTATTTTTTGTAAATAAATTAGGCTACAGGCCGATAATTATATTTATAATAGGTAATAGACTAGGTCAGACTGACATATTTAAATATAGACTTGATCTTTTACGACTTGACTCAGCCCGTTAACATCGTTACCAGTTAATTAGCTAGCTACCTCATTCCTTTCCCTATAAATAAGGACAAAAATAATTTGCCAAGCTTGGTTCAGTAAGTTATTGATTCTATTGATTAGGCTTGCAAGAGGATGATGGGGAGGGCAACCTACTTTGACTAGCTTAATGGCTACCTCAGAATCACCTTTTTAAAAATCCTTAATTCATGAATTTGCAAGTGTAGGAACAGGCCCCAAAGCCTAGCTTTGATTGAGCTACATGTGCCTAGATTCCTAGCAAAACCCAATAGCCAGCGCCCAATGTCATCGTGCAGAATTCCACCACACCCCACTTTGCCTATTATGTCTCAAAGCAGAATCATTTGTGTTAATGTTTGATCCATCCAAAGGGGGAGGAGACCACTGGATTAGGACCTCTTGTTTAATCTGTACTGTACTTTTAATAATTATTTTCTTAAAGTTTAAACTTTGATGATTTCTTTAGGGAATATTTGGTAGAAGAGAAAAAAAAAATTTACTAGAGAAATACAATCAATGGAAAAGTGATTTTCTGGGAAATTATAAAATAATTATTTGGTACGCTGAAATATTATTAAATTTTTTTTGATGTAAATTTACTATAAATTTGAGTTTGTTGAAAAAATTAAAATATCACCATCAAGGTGATATTCCCAAGTGGACATTTTCCTTAATTTTTACACTTCAAAAATTTTTTCTCAAAATTTTTTTCTAGATAAATTTTCCTGACGCCATATCAAATATGATCATTTGTGAATCCCATCTACCACTTTCGTAACATTATGGAAAAAATCTACTTACCAAACAGCCGGGCTACTCTCATCGTTGATTCTATAATAGCATTTGACAAGATGTATTAGAACTAAATAAAATATAAGAATTTTATTTTATGTTTGATTTATTTATTTTTTAAATAAAACTAAACATAAAATTAAAAAGTGATAATTTTATATAACAAAATAAAATTAATCAAGAACTGCTATCAATTCTTCATGCTATTACTAATTACTAAGGGCCGTTTAGATGAGCTTTTTTTTAGTCAAAAGTTACTTCTTCTTTTTTCAAAAAAAAGTACTTTTAGAGTCCGTCTGGATAAGCTTTTTTTTCTTCAAAAATTGTTTTTTTAAGAAAAAAAACACTTCTCAAAAAAAGTCTGTTTGTATGCCTGCTTTTAAAAAAAGCAGAAGTCATAAAAAAAATCAAAAACTTACTTTTTTCAGAAGCTAAAAATTTTAACTTCTCAAAAAAGCAGAAGTTAAAAGTCAAATATTTTTTTTAAAAATCAAATACTTTTCTAAAAATCTAAATAGTTGTAACTTTTATAAAAAGTACTTTTAAAATAAGGAATTGATAAAAGGACTTTTTTAAAAAGTGAATACAAACGGGCCCATTGTAAAGTATATTTGGATGTCTGCTTTAAAAAAAAAACAGAAGTCATAAAAAAAACCAAAATCTGCTATTTCCAGAAGCTATAAATTTTAGCTTATCAAAAAAGCAAAAGTCAAAAGGCATTTTTTTTTTCGAAAAAAAATATTTTTTAAAAAATTTAAATAGTTTTAATTTTTATAAAAAGCACTTTTAAAATAAGCGGGTATAAAAGCAACTTTTAAAAAAAAGGTAATCCAAACGCACTTAGGAACTTGAGATTTCGTAAGTTGTTTTTTAAAAAAGTTCTTTCTTACGAGGTTGACAAATGTCAGGGTCTGATTCCACAATCCAAGCAATTAAAAAATAAAATTAAAAGGATACCAAAAAAAAATTAAAAATAAAATTAAAGTGGGTTATATAGTTGTAATGCAATGTCTTCGTAGAGGGCGTAAAGAATTTATGTGTAGGTAATATTATTTGAGACAAATTATACTTATAATTTATTTTATTTTTATAGTTATTAGATTAAAATTAAATTAATACTTCCACTTAATATTATTTTATAATCATTAATATGATTTTGATCCAATAACCATAAAAATAATTATAAGATATTATTTATACATATTTCGTAATATATAATGAAGGTAAATGAAACAAAATATACTAAATGAACACGAAAAATAAAATAAGGGTGCATCAATTCAATAGTAAAAGACATTACAAAGGCATTATTGCATTGTCTCCATGTATAATTTCTTACAAGTAAACTTATCTACCTTTATGTACCATTAAACTATTTTCTTATTTATTTTCTTTGAAAATTGTCCACCAAGTATTATTTTTATTAAAGAATAATAAATAAAACTATAAAAGTGCATTTTAAGAGAAGAAAAGTACATACAAAAAAATGAGTTGACAGAGGAAAGGACCAAAGTGTACTTAGGCAAAGGAAGTGGAGCACCAATGTTTTTGGTCCACAATTGCAGGAAGGTAATTGGTATTAGAAGGTGTCAACTTAACATTAAAACATATATATATATTTTTTTTGTAAACAACTTAACATTAAAAACATGAAACAGAAGAAACACTCTCTTTTGATTTTCTGAGTGTCAACTTAATAGTTTGTTACAAAAGACCAGCTATATATCATTAGGCTGAGACTGGTTACTCTCCGAGTCTCACTATCATAATCTTCTTCCCTTCATTCACTTTCCACTTCTCATGTCTCACCACACAATGATTTATCACTCTTTCTCTTTTTCTTTTTTTGGAAATAATCACTCTTTCTCTTTCTCACCTGTGTCTTAGGCCCTTTTCTTTTTTATTGAAAATATAACTTTGAAAGCAATATTTTGGACTTTTTAATGCTTGCTTAATAAAAAATATGTTTTCCTTTTTTTTAGTGTAAGAAGAATCTTTTCTTAATTTATTTTTTTTGGTACATGTCTTTTCTTAATTATTAAAGAGAGAGAATAATGACTTACCCTTTTTAAATTAGGAAAAATTCTGTAAATGAATAAAAAAAAAGTTGAGCTGATAAATTAATCAAATGTTAAAGAAAGTTCAAAAAATATAATGCATTATTTCATTTTATGTTTCTTATTAAAGATATTTTCATAATTATATTATTTTTCATCAAATAACAGTTTGAACTAAAATTATTCTCCTTCCATCTCGTTTAAAAAAATAAATAATAATTAAATTATTTCCTTATTATACCAAGACTTCTATACTGAGAATAAAAAGAAAAGCACCTTCTTTTTGTTTTTAATTTCATTTATTACTTTTTCTTTTGGGTTTAATTTTGTGTTTCTTTCTTAGCAATGACATAATATTCAAAACATTAACTTGTATAAATTTGTGTTTCTTTCAATGCATCAGTATAAAAACATAAATAGCAGCAAATTACCAAAAATAGATTCGTGGCTAGTGAAACCCCATAAATATTTTGCTTTTTAAACAAGTATCGCTTTTTCTAAGAGAGGGTAGTATTTTCGGTACTACTATCGCACCAAGTGTTTAGTGTGACGGTTATAGTTGCATTATATATTTTTGAAAATATATAATACAAATATTAAAGTTTTTTTTTCTTCACATCAGTCGATAATTTTTAAGTACATAGAAAAAATAACTCTAATATTTATACTATATATTTTCGAGAATATATATATATTGCAAATATGGAGGTAGTATATTAAAATTTTCCCTATACTTTGTGTCATTATAATTTGGAATTTCAATTTTTAGCATGTGTTCATCTTTCAAATAAAAAGATATAGCATCTATTGAATGTAATGAAGCATTTGGCAAGTGAATTTTCTAAAAAAATTTAAATGTTTTAAAATTTAGTTGTTATGAATATGTTATATGGGCATATGAAAAACCATTTTTAAGTGGAATAAAATCTAAATCTAAATTATAAATAAATCTTTTAGATTTTTTTATTAATTCCCGCAAAATCTAGGCATGAACATTTAATGGAAATAAAAATTAAGTCCCTTATTTGATTTCATGCATGAATTAAGTTCCAATCTTAATCCAACATTTGCATTAATATCATTTTTTTTTTTCAGTGCCACTTTAAAAAAATGAAAGAAAAAAGTAACTAACCTCATTGAGATTACATTATAAATGATGAGTTTGAAAAAAAAAATTGGGGACTAGTTGGCAAAAATTGGACAAGTAAGAGGATCAAGTTTATGATACTCATTCAATCATTTGTGTGTGTTCTTTGTGTGAACGAGATAAGATGAACCCAAATGAGTGGAGAGTCTTCCACGTGGGAAACAAAGAACTGCCATAGAGAGAGGAGTGAGTGGATCACCCCAAACGAAGGAACTGGTCCAATCCAAGTGGTTTTGCTTAGACAACCTGCTATAGCCGGTATACTGACATAATGCTACCGGTTAGTCCCTTCCTAGGATGAGTGGTCAAACGTTTGCAAAACAGTTAGTTGGGGTTGTGAGGGGTTTAAGAACACAAGGTGTTTGGTGGTTTTCAGGGGGTTTTTGTTGATCAGACATAGCCCAATTCTCTAGGTGAGAATTATTTATTGCCTTTCATGAAAAAATAAATTCTTTAGACATAACAAAAAAAAAGGGTTGATGCAAAATAGTTCAACATTGATACAAACTAACAAAAGGTTTTTCTATTTGATGGTTTTTGTTCATCATTCCTTTAATGAAGCAATTTTTCATCATTTATGTTGTTGTTTTTTCCTCTTTGAGTTTAGGAATTTGCATTGCATATCTTATTTCTCCAATTCTTTTCTGGGTTCATTCATGTTCCTTTCCTAGTGCTTGATTCATTTCATTTTATCTATATTCCTTCTTTTACTGCTTTTTTTTTAAAAAAAAAAAAAAAAAATTGATCTCTCTCTGTCTTTCTCTTTCTCTCTCATATTGCATAGTGGTAATAAATTTATTAACTTGTCAGGTGTTGTCTCCTTAAAAGGGTCACCAGTGGTCTGAAGATCCATTTGGCCTATATCTTAAGTAAACTGATGATATGTAATATTTTTTTGCCCTGGTGTTGTCCAGTGTCTTATTTGCTTGTTATTGGTGTTATGTTTAATTGGGTTTAATATGATTGTGCATGGATAATTATAATCATTATGTTGCAATTCTGGGTTTTTTTTGTTTTTGAAAATTAACTAACAAGGCTTTATTTATTTTCCAAATGTTGAAGGGTATGTTATCTGCATGAGTTTCAAACCGGATGAGAGTGTCTTCAACATGGGGTGAAATGTTTTCTTCCAATGTCCACTTACATGTAAGTGTTTCAGTACCTTATTTTTGTGATTACTTTATAATGGCGGAAACTTATCTCAACTGGGGGCTTCAAGATTGCAGCAACTGCTAATGTCATAATCACACAACCCATTCCCAAAGATTTATTATCATGAATGTAATGCCATGCTATTATTCATTCAATTTTGGTGTAAATGTTGGTATTTTCTCTCTACTTAAATGGTTCATTGTCTGCTCTTAATTTTATTTCATTTATCCTTGTTACTTTGTAAAAAAAAAAAAAAAAATTCTTTTTTTTTTCTTTCTTGATTTTACCAATTGCATCAAATTTTCTTTATCAAGAATACTTACTAATTAGGCACTGTAAGAAAGCGGCTACTTTGCTTTCCTTTCGCAGAAATGCAAAGCTGATCCTTTGCATTAGAACTGGTTTTTGACTAAATGAAATAAACCCCTAAAAACATTTTGCATATGCAGCTTGGTACAATGACTCCTCTTGAGATTCATCAGTCTATTCTAGTGTAATAACTATGGGAAAACATTATTGCATGAGAATTCAATTCTCATGTTGTCACCCTTCGATTTGCGTGCACAATTTTTTTTTTTTGGTTTCTTTTTTTAATAAATGTGGGACCCACCACTAGTTGAGTCACAATACATGAGAAAATCAAACCCCAATAACTATTTACTGATATTTGATTGTGCTGACACGATTTGATATTGGAAGTTTGCAAAACTCAAGGAAGCTGGTTATATTTTATCTAGTGACTTTTTTCTTATAGGAATGATTGTCTGAGATATGGTGTTGCAGAAGAGGTTGAACTATGGTTTTAATGGCTATCAGGTGCCTGTCATTCCTAGAGCTTCTAGATCAGCTAGGGTAAGAAAATGATTCCCCCCCCCCCCCCCCCCCAACATTTCCTGCTAAATTGAGGGCAAGCCTTGGAGCAACGGTAATATTACTCCTTGTGACCAGAAGGTCACGGGTTCGAGTAAGGATATAGCCTCTTTGCAAAAATATAAGGATAAGGCTACGTACAAATGACCTTTACAAGTCATGGAGGCTTGTGCTTCAGGGTTTGTCCTTTTTATTTCCTTCTAAATTGTATTGTGTGTAGAGTTTCAAATCCTGATAATTACAATAAATGGTTTAGGGGAGGGGCGCAATCAGGAAGAAGCCTGACAGCAATCAGATACAGGCTTTTGAAATTTTGGCTAGTGTAGCTGGCAACTTTTTGCAGGAGAATGAGAGTTCCATTCCTGATAACGCTGATTCTGTGAAAGATCCTCATTCTTTTGCTGGTATTAACATAAAAGACAAACAAGAGGATGAAGTAGGGTCATTTAAGGAGAACCTATTTGAGCGTGGAACTTGTAGTGAAATTGCCTCTACCTGTGTCCCTGGTTTGAAAGGGAAACATGACAACCAAAGGTACTTGTTGAATGGCTATTTTAGTTCAATGATAAACTTAGTGGCTTTGGAAACTTGTCATTACTCAGATTATTATGTTGTATGAAACTTTGACCAGAGTCATGGATGATTCATCTTTTCTTGGCAATCATCTTGAAGGCCAAGGACAAAATGTCCTTGAGAGGGAAGATGAACGGATAAAAGGGGGATGCGTAAGTGAGAAAATCATCCACATTAAAGGGAGCTCTGATGGATTAATAGAACTAGGACATAGAGCATCTAAAGATTGCACTTCAGAAAATTATGTGGAAAAACCTTCATTGGAGGGACGCAGGAATCTTGATTCTTTACCCAATGGTTCCTCTGCTAGTAAATTAGTTAATAGAGATGATGACGATAACTTTGTTAGGTGCACTCAATTGAGCCCCAAGAATAAGATATCTGGCCAACCACCAGATATGCTAAAACTGAAGGATGCAAGTACTTTTACAAGTGGTATGTAGCTTTACTAGCAGTTGATTTTTAATTTAGTTTAAGTCTCACAACAAGTATGTTGTGTTTCTAATTATGAAGCAAGCAATCTCTATTGTTGCATGCATTCATAATAGTTAATCAACTTCATAAATTTGCACATTCTGTATGAGTATGACTATTGACAGTTCCATGAATTGTTGTGTTGTCATAGATGAGAACAATAGTAGGGACAATTCTTTGCTTGAAAATTCACAAAGGATGTATCCGTTTAAGAAGAGGAAGTTCTTCAATCAGACCTCATCATCTGCATCTGATAGGGGGTCTCACTGTCAAGGCATGTTTGATTCTTCTGACACCAGAGTTAATGGCACAAACCACAGTGCAGGTGAAACAATGCATGGCTGCCTGCTTTGTTTTTCTTTGTAATGTATGTTCCCTTTTAGGTTTGTATTCAGTTTTAGCTGAATGATCTAAACTATCACATGCAGCGATTGAAGAATCATCCTCTGTAGCAGGTCAACAAGTACATCCTGGGTCAAGAGGTTGTAACGGTAGGAAAGTTGGTGAAATGATTTACAACATTTAATCCATATTTTGTTTGACATCTTGCTATGTAAGGTTCTGACATGATTTTCATTTGTACTTTTCAGTGAAGCTTAGTATAAAATCCTTTAAAGTCCCAGAGCTTTTTATTGATATACCTGAAACTGCTACTATTGGTTCACTGAAGGTATGTGATTAAACTTTATCTTAGAGAGACACAATAATGACATCATTGACATGATTTATGCAAAATTTTATGCCTACTTTAGTTGAAGCAATGGAGGCTAACAATAAATGAAACTAAAGCAGCATGTTATGGACAATTTTATGGCATAATCTGAGCCTTAAACACTAAACCACCATAATATGTCCTCTTGCCTCCAGACCAAAGGCAAATAGATTTCGAATGGATAAAGTGTAATAACTATAGTAAGTGTTGAGATATATAAAATCATTAATGTAACTTCACCCATAGCTTAAGCTTTTGGGTTGAATTGGTTCTTTACATGGTATCAGAGCATTGTGTCCCAGGTTCGATCCTCGTCGCCCCCCACTTTCTTTCAAGTGGAATTTCTTTGTTCGCACAGGTAGGTGGACCTGTGTATTGTCCACCCTTCAAGCCCAGTGGGCTCTCGTGTGAAGGGGCGTGTTGAGATATATAAAACCATTAATGTAGCCTCACCCAATAGTTTAAGCTTTTGGGTTGAATTGGTTCTTTACAGTACCTTTCTCCAAGCTCAATAATGTGTAGTTTTGTTTTATTATTAATATTTCTTGCAGAGGACAGTAATGGAGGCTGTGACAGCTATACTAGGAGATGAACTACATGTAGGCATTCTTCTTCAGGGAAAGAAGGTACGAGATGACAGCAAAACTCTGATTCAGACTGGGATATCTCAAGATGACAAACGTCATAGATTGGGGTTCATGTTGGAGCCAAGACGTACTCAAATTTCTCCATCTTCATACAATGAAGACTCTTGTTTTCTAACCACTGGTTCCCGACAAAAATTTTCCAGGTAAACCATTCAACCAAGCATTAACTTGTTTTTATTTGATATATATCTTTCTTGGCCTTTTCATCAGTGGAATCACTTTTTTTTTTTAATCATTGTGTAAGTATCTGAGCAGTTACTAATTTGATCATCTTCAATAAACAGGCAATCAACATCTTTAATGCTACAACATGGAACATATAATGTATCCCAAGAGCGTTCTCTGATCAAAATTGAAAGTTGTGCTGGAGGTGATCTTAATGTTGTCTCATCTCTGGCAGATACTTCAGCTAACAATAACATGTCAAAGTGTCGCACTTTGGTAGCAGTTCCTGCCATTAACATGGAGGCATTAGCCATGGTTCCATTCCGGCGCAAACCTGGGAATCCTGACTTTGCACAGCGCCGAATCAGGAGGCCATTTTCTGTTCTAGAAGTAGAAGCATTGGTTCAGGCAGTTGAAAAACTTGGAACTGGAAGGTTTATTTAATGGAATTTTTTTCCTTTTTATCTTTGGTTAATTGAGTAGTGCTAATAACTGTACAGTATTAAGTATTACTTGTGGGTTTCAGGTGGCGTGATGTCAAACAACGTGCTTTTGATAATGCAAAGCATCGAACTTATGTGGATTTGAAGGTGAGGGATTCATGTGATGCACTGTGGATTGTAAGGGGTGAAATCTCCCACAAGAAGCTAAAATATCATAATTTGTATGATAGTCTAATCGATCATACTTTTCTTCTCAGCACTTGTTTACCTTTTCTTTCTTCTCAATGCTTTAATAAAAGGGCTATAGGTTGTTTTCTTCCGGTTAGAGATATATAAAAATCATTAATGTAGCATCTCCCACCAGCTTAAATTTTTGGGTTGAATCGGTTCTTTACATGGTATCAGAGTCTCGATGTCATGGGTTCGATTCTCACTGCCCCACTTTCTCTTATGAAATTTCATAGCACAAGTAGGTGGACCTGTGCATTGTCCACCCTTCAAGTTCAGTGAACTCTCGTATGAGGGGGCATGTTGGAGTATAATATAAATCATTAAAGAAGCTCTCACCTAAAAGCTTAAGCTTTTGGTTTGAATTGGTTTTTTACATGGTATCAGAGCCTCGGTGTCCCGGGTTCGATCCTCGCCGCCCCCATTTTTTTGTGTGGAATTTTTTAGCACAGGTAGGCTGGGCCTGATGCATCATTCACCTTTCAAGTCCAATGGGCTTTCTTGTGAGGGGGCGTGTTAAAGATATATAAAAACCATTAATGTAGCCTCTCCCATCAACTTAAGCTTTTAGGTTGAATCAGTTCTTTACATTTCCAAATAGTGGAGCAAATAGGTACTTCCATTGATGAATGATCTTCTCTAGTACTTTTCAAGTTGCTAATTATTTCTTGCAGATTTTTATTATTATTCTATGTTATAAAACTAATTGAAGTTGTAGGATGGTTGTTGTCCCTCCCTCCTCTGACGTATATAGAAAGGAGAGATAAAATTGAATATAGTTGAGAAGTATGCAGTATTTTCATTCTGTTAACTATGGGAATGCTGCAGGATAAGTGGAAGACATTGGTGCACACAGCAAGAATCTCCCCTCAGCAAAGGAGAGGAGAACCTGTTCCTCAGGAGCTTCTGGACAGGGTCTTAGCTGCTCATGCCTACTGGTCTCAACAACAATGTAAGCATCAACTTAAACCACTTTGAGCCTTTTTCAATATTGAAGAACGCACAAGAACAAGTACATTGCTGCAAAAAAAAAAACAGCTTTCAGAATGAAGTGAAGTGTCGTTATGCAAAAAGTTGTTAGTTAAGTACGTGTTAAATACATGTGAACCATAATTTAGGTTGTCTAAGCCTATTAATGGTTTGGTGATTTGTACATGATTTTTTGATCGAAAGGGAGTATGGTGTCACTCTTACCATTCCCTGTGGTCGTTTGTTGGTATGCTATCAAAAGCAGACTAGAATAATCATATATGTATAGAAGTTGACCCCTTATGAATTTGTTCTTAGGAACTTGGTTATCTTCGTAAGTTACAAACAATAATAAGGGATGACCTGTGAATAGATGCAAATGAATATCTTTCCATGCAAATAGATGAGATAGTTTCTCAAGCATAGTTGCTGCACTGATAAAGATGTTCTCTATATTTTATTTTATTTTTGTTCTTTGTCCCCATACAGTCAGGGGCTTTGCGGTAGTCATGTTACAGGAATCTCATTTTTATTCCTGCAACATACATATTTTTTTATTAAGTTATTTTTTTTTCAAAAAAAAATTTATATCAGTGGGCCCCACAAATATTGTGTCAGTGACATGATACAACATTTATCCTGTGACATGATGCTTCTATTACCCGTCAGTTATATAGTTCATTGGCAGTAACATTAAGCTGGTTAAATTTGTAAAGTATACAAAATGATATCAATAATAACTGACACGGCTTACAAAGTGGTTTAACATGCAACTTCCTTTTTTTGGCCTTGGCATTTTGCAAGTAATAATGGAACAAGGTGTGGACAACGAAAGAACATGCAGTGATTTTGTAAATTGGAAAATTGTGTACTTTTAAAGGACATAATACCGTTTTCATTTTAAGTAAAATAGTATTATTTTATTTAATATTTAAATTAATTTTTTTTATTAGAGTAAATATCTTTTTTGGTCCTCAGCAAATTTCACGATACCCGTTTTTGTCCCTAGCAAATAAAAAGGCTCATCGTGGTCCCTAAGAAATTCAAAATGGACCTATTTAGTCGAAATCATGGTCCTTCACAAATTTTAAAAAGACCCATATTAGTCCCTAAAAGGACTAAAATAGGTTCATTTTGAATTTCTTAGGGGCCACGACGGGCCTTTTTATTTGCTAGGGATTAAAGCGGGCATAGTGAAATTTGCTGAGGACCAAAAAAATTATTTACTCTTTTTATTAATAACCTCCTACTCTTTCCCATCATGATCTCTCATTATGTAATCGTCTTATCATAAAACATAATAATTTCAATTAAAATGACATAATATTATGTACTTTAAATGAACAAATATTTTTCCCTTGAACCCACCACTTCAAACCAATAAATTTCCAAATCCATTAATTCTTTGCAGACAACATAAACTTCATCTCACAATCTCTGAAAAATAAACCAATGAAAAAAAATAAATACAAATGTTAAATAGGCATTATGTTAGTCTACTCTTGGAATTGGATAAGTAGCAGCTCCTGAGAAGCAAACATGAAACTACATACCAAATCTGACAGGCAAATTAGTTTCCAAGATGCTTTAAAGCATTGAATTACATAATAGGTCAGCTTTGTGCATGAAACTGTATTTGAAGATGATCTGCAGATGGCAACATTTTCCTTGAGCAAATATAACTTTTCCACAATTAATACTTGTGACTAACCAGGTCATAGAGCAACAATCTTGCTGTTTAAAATCAATTTGTTAGTAAAATTGTACAGAGAATAATTCTTTTGTTCCAATTATGTAAGAACTCATGGCAGGCACATTTTGTAATCCTGTAAAATGAGGAGCATAATTGTTAGGTGTAAAATTAAATTGTTTAAAAACCTATATTTTACTTCCTATTGAGCTGTGAAAAAATTAATAAAACAGGTGAAAGGCCTTAAAGGTAGGGAAATCAGCCCATGAAGGTAAAAGTAAAAAAAGAGAAGATTTAGATAAATCCACTTTCTGTTGTTATCACTCCATTGCAGGAATTAAGAGCACGTGAACAATTGGCTGAGTTGAAAGATCTAAACCTACTTAAGCTTTCATCATATCAATTGGTAAAATATTCCACATAGTAGTCTCCCACTCTAACTATTATCCATTGTCAGTAGTCTTCCACTCTAACTATTATCCATTGTCCTTAACGACCTAAACTGCTGACAACTATCAGGTTATCACTCAAATACCAGGAAAGCATACCTAGTATTGTTTCCTATTGTAAATGGGTTTTTTAAAGTGTCATTATGCAAAAGAAGTGGGCCAAATTACAAAGAAAAAGCCCATGGTGGTATATGGCTAATTGAATGACAACTTTTGTAATTTTTGCTTACTATTTGGGCTTTATGTTGCAGGCAAAAGTCACGTGGGCAGATTAGTGAGAACTGAGGAGATGTGGACCGTTGGATCAAAGGAAAAAGAATGGATGGCTGACAAATGCTTTGGTGTTTTTAGTTTTAAGTAGGAGTCTTAGTCTTATATAGACTTAGCCTTTGAAGCACACAGACGGTTTTTTTGGGGAAAAAATGCGTGTTCGACACGCGGTCAACTTTTTGAGACACGTTGACTAGGGGGACACGCGATTTTGACCGAATCCGACACGCGGTCAATGTATGTGGACACGTTTTGGCATTTTTTGTAAAAAAGAAATAAAATTACAATTTAAAAAAAAAAGGGTAAAAATATTTAATAAAAATTAAAAAGTTTAGAACCCTATCTTATCTCGTTCACGCTGGACGCTGCTAGCCACTCCTTCTCTTCTTCGTCGTCGGCCGGCGCTTTTCGTCTCATCTCTGCTTGTTGTCTCTTCTTCCTAGGCTTGTCGTCTACGTCTCCGGTCCTAATTAGAAACCCTGTAAGTCTCTTTTGATCTTGATTTCAACTGTTTCTTCCTTATGTTGATGCTTTTCTCTCCTTTGAGATTGGATGCATTAGCGTGGTGTTTCTTTCTTGATGTCTATGCTAGTTGCTCGTTCCATTATGAAAATTTCATCAGTGGCTATTTTGTGTGATCCAAGGATGTTTTGCTGTCATGATGTGAGGACCACGGTTCTCATATGATTCCTGCATTGATGAATTAGTTGGTTCATATTTTGTTTGTTTTTTTAGTTGTTTTCATTTCATCCATTTTTGAAGGCGAGGCCCTTGCTTCATTAAACAAACCCTCTTTACGAAGCTCTTATATATTATGACATTTAATCGACAACCTTTAATAAGAAGATTTGCAGTCTTTAGTTTTCCTTCCACATTTGCACAAGCCAATGATTATAACAGTATATGTGCTCACATTTCAACGCATTCGTTAGCCAATAATCACATTTCATAACTCAATTGCCTTGTGAATAAGGAAATGGATTATCTCATATATAATGATTTGATTTGGTCATCAGAAAATTTTGTGACTATCTCTTTTGTCATAAACATTTCACAAATGTTGATTGAGTCTCACCTATTTTATCTCTTTCTTCATAGAAATATCACGAATGTATATTGAGTCTCACCTATTTAATGATTCTAAAGAGTTAGATAGACACAAAATATGTTGAGTATGTCTCATATTTCGCATGCTGATGAGGACTCTTGTTGTCAGGGTCATCAGAAAGTCAACTGGGGTCATGCTCATATAGCTAGCGCCCCCAGCCCCCAAGCCCGTAGAGGCTAGATATTGTTGTGGGTCTCTGATTTATTGTAATTTTTTTAGTAGGACTCATGAATAGCTGCTATTAGGATTTTCTAATTCTATTTATATTTTTCTTGAAAATCGAGTGACTTGTAACGAGTGGTGGTGAGCTAAATATAGTACAGACAAGCTGTATGTAGTCTATATTGGATGAACCAGGATAAATCACTGTGTCAATCTCTCTTCTCTTTTCTCTTTTCTGTTTTGCCGATTTCGTGTTATTGTCGATTTCCAACAAAATTTATATATGATCATATTATGTAAAATTTACACTTGAGAGGATTGACACCCTTATAATAATAATAATAATAATAATAATAATAATAAAGAAATGATCCGTTTACAAATATTTTTTACAAATTTTTGCAAATTATATTATGTACTCCCAGAAAAACATAGCGTAACCTAGTGTTCTCCCGTGAGAACATAATGTATAGTTTGTAAGAATTTGTAAATAAAAAGTTTATTGTTACGGATATGAATATCATATCCCAACTACTCACCTAAGAATCTACTAAGAGATAGATTCATGAATATCTCAACAACATTAAACAGTCAAGAGGCACAAGATAGGGATCATATCTCAACATAAAGGGAGTTAAATCCTACTGCAGTTGAGGGTGCTCAAAAGGCCCAAGCCTAGGAAGGTAATCCTATAAATAAGAGCCTAAGGACCCCAGGTAAACACTTGGAACCTATTTACTAATACTGCCCACATTGTGCACACACTTACCCCCTTGGCTTTAAGCCTGTTACTTGTGCACAGTGATTGGGACCTCGGCTATAAGCTTAGTATACAGTTGATATACATTATCTCTGAGCGCATACCATACGGTATAGTAATATGGTCAATCAGGACCTAACATTTATAAATATAACCCTCATAATAATAATAATAATAATAATAATAATAATAATATAAGTTAGAGTATCAGGAAATAACTACTTTCGGCGATTTATTTTCTTAAAGAGCGTCTTGGCATCACTCAACCTACTTGCAAAATCCATTGATCGTAAAGTTGTAAGTATGAACTTTAAGCGCTATACCCCCTTAACATCTCTACTGGATAAGATATCATGTTTATATTTTTTTATGTATACTTTATTTATTCATTTTCAATATTATTAGATCAGAATATCAAAAAAAAAAATGATTAAGATTAATTAATATTTTGATCTAACAATATTAAAAATGAATATGTAGAATAAATATTATGTAGGACTGACAAAACAAGCTCGACCCGGTGGGTCAACTTGCCTTACCTAGTAAACAGGGCAGGGCGACTAAGTTTTACAACCTACCCAGTCCGTTGGGCCGAGTTTTTTTTTTAATAAAACAGATTCTTGCTGTGAAACGGAATGGACTGAATTTTTCAATTCACTTTTAAAAATGTGGTGTGCAGGTCACCGGTTTTGGCACCTCTTCCAGAAGTAACAACATCGGGCTTCTAACCTGTTGTAGCCATCATATCAAACACATATTGAGCTTCTCTGACACATCCTCCTCTCCGTAATGCATCGATCATTTGGTCTCACCTACACGTGACAAAGTGAATAATAAGTTGACAAAAATAACTGAAGGTATAAATTGGGCTAACAAATTTTAATCCTGGATGCTTTTACCCAATCGAAATATAAATTAAAATACTAGCATTT